TAGAGAAAGATGGGAAAAAAAATCTCTCCAAAAAATTTATCAATGAAACAAAATGCTAAGAATTTTGAAACCATTAGAATGGTGGGAGAAGAAGATAACCACTAATCCTTAGAATTTTAAAATCATTAGAATGGTGGGGGAAGGAGATAACCACTAGTGAATGGGTATAGGGGTTGGGGTGGGATGGGGTGGGGTTGATAGAAATAGGGAAGAAGAAGACAACTGTTCTTCTTCTTTTTTGTTAATTTTTTTAAAAAATTAACTTAGGGATATAAATTAAGAAAATAAAATAAAATATTATTTTTAGTAAATTAATGCGCTCAAGGAAAGTGAATTACACGTTTTTTGTCATGTCAGCATTTTGTGTCTAATAGGAATAACTTTTGAACAAATAAAGTGTTCAATTGGCACAACGATTAGTTGAGGTGTCTAAATGAATTATGCGGACAACTTTGATTGGCTGGAGATGACTTAGGCCTATTAACTTTGATGGTCTTTGCACACATTCAACTTTCATTGTCAACTCAAAAGTCACTCAACTATAACTTCTTTGCACATAAAGTCTCTCAACTTATTTAATTGTTTTTTTTCATTAAAATTTAGCGACATCAAATTTTAATTATAATCAAAATTTTAAGAATCAAATATATTTTTTATGAAAACAATTGATAGGAGGGGGTGGTAGGGGGCTGTAGGGGTGAGGTAAAAAAAATGAAGTTGAGAATATTTTTTAAAAACAAGCTTTAATTTTTTTTCCTTGGGGTCTGATTTGAGGGTAGGGACAAAATAAATTGTAATATGAAGTTGGAAGAGAGTTTTTGAAAAATGTTCTTTTAAGTTTTAAAAAAAAATTATTTTTTTTAAATTTGAGAAAAAATGAGTTGATTTGAAAAATATTTTTCAAAACATTTAATCCAACCAAATATAAAAAAAATTTGAAAGTTACGAGATATTAGAAAAAGAGTATTTTTGAGAAATTTTTTTTTTTAAAAAAAATGAAGGACAAAAAGATAGAAGACACTTGAGAAAAAGGTAACTAAGAAATGATGCATAAATAAATCATAGGTAAATAATATGTTAAAGAATAACAATGAGATATTACTACGTTGAGAAATTTGATAGGTCCTTTTTCACTGTATATCCCATGGAGAGATATTCGCATTTCCTCAAACATATATAAATCATAAATTCTTCAGAATAACTTAAATATTCAAGTAGATAATTATAAAATTTTGTGAACAGATAAGATATATCCGTTCAGCAAGAGAAAACGAATAATTTAAATAATTATTATTGGGTCTACCATATTGATGATATGATTCAATTTTATGCCTTTATCTATTGATTTTAAAATGAGTGGTTTTTAACACTTTGGATATCAAAAACACAACAAACAATAATAGAATGTGTTGTCCATGGAACATAATCAGCTTACGGGTTCTATACCATTCACAATATTCAATATTTCTAGAATTGAACTCATTGTATTTTCAAACAATAGCTTATCAGGAAATCTTCCTAATGGTTTATGCAATGGTCTTCCAATACTCAAAAGGCTTCATCTATCAATGAACGAGCTTCGTGGCCATCTGCCTACAAGCTTGTCAAATTGTTCACAACTACAAGTATTATCTTTAGCATTTAATGATTTTGATGGACGAATACATAGTGAAATTGGAAGATTGAGTAACTTGCAGGGATTGTATCTTCGAAACAACCATTTCACAGGTATATATGTTTTATCTTATGAGTGTAATTGTACTATTGTATCTAATCACCTCACATCTTTTTTATCACACATCAAAATAAATGCAGGGATTATTCCACAAGAGATCGGAAATCTTGTTAATTTGGTGGAATTATACATGGAGGCAAACCAGATTAGCGGCTCTATCCCGATCTCCCTAATCAATATCTCATCGTTGGAAACTGTTTCACTATGGAGGAACAATTTCAAGGGATCCTTACCACGGGAGATTGGCAACTTAACCAAGTTGCAAGTTTTATATCTTAGCGAAAATAGGTTTACTGGTACGTATTGAAAGTGATATATAGCAATCAATATTGAACTAGCTAGTGTTAAATTTGACAAGATTCAAAAATGAATTAATGAGAAGATATGGTAGTTAGGAGGATAATTCTTCATTGGTAGAAAAGTCAAGATAGCACATTTTGTAGGTGAAATTTAGGTGAACCATAAATTAATTTCACTAAGTAAATTTTGACATATTGTGATGTCAATAGTAAGAATTCACTCCTATAAATAGATAGCTCCTAATTCATTTGTAACACACCTCTTACTTGCCTTCTCATCTCCTAAGGCATTTTTTCTTCTTTCTCTCTTGTAGTATTTCACTTGTACTCTTTTGGAGTGAAATAAATATTGGTTGGTTGTGTCCGAGGAATAGGCAAAAGAAAATAAAAGTTTGCCGAATCTCGTTAATTCCTGACGTTCTTTTGTTGTTGTCTCATTTACTATTTATTAGCTACATTTAGATATAGTAGTTATGATTCCATCAGTCTCTATATATTCGGCTTCCGCAACAGCTAGCTAGCTCATTCACTGTTCATGTGTTGACAGGTGAAATACCCAAAGAGATGAGCAATCTCGTTGAGTTGCAGGTACTTGCTCTTGGGCTTAATAGTTTTAGTGGTTTGCTTCCAATGGAGATCTTCAACATATCGCGACTGAGAATAATTCAACTTTCAGGCAATACTCTATCGGCAACTCTACCACCAAACATAGGTTCTACCTTACCCAACATCGAAGTGCTTTCTATGGGTCTCTTAACCAATCTTGTTGGGACTATTCCTCATTCTATCTCCAATTGTTCAAAGCTGACTATACTAGAACTTTCACGTAACAAACTCAGTGGCTTAATACCCAGTTCTCTTGGATATTTGACTCATTTAAACTTCCTAAACTTGTGGGGAAACAATTTAACCAGTGATTCATTTTTAAGCTTCCTCACTTCCTTAACCAATTGCAGAAATTTAAATTTTCTTTCTCTGTCTTTCAACCCTCTAAATGCCATGCTTCCGGTCTCCGTAGGGAACTTCTCCAAATCTCTTGTAAAGTTTGATGCCAGTGAATGCAACATCAAAGGAAAGATTCCAAATGAAGTTGGAAACTTAAGCAGCTTGTTAGACCTTCATCTTTCTGATAATAACTTCATTGGATCAATTCCTACATCAATTGGCAACTTGAGAAACATTCAGTACTTCAACTTGAACCACAACAATCTTACAGGATTTATTGGAGATAACATTTGTAAATTGCAGTATTTGAGTGAAATTTACTTGGGACAAAATCAACTTTCAGGATCTCTTCCTAATTGTTTAGGGAATGTTACTTCCCTTAGATGGATATATCTTGCTTCCAATAAATTGAGTTCCAATTTACCAACAAGCTTAGGAAATCTTAAAGATTTACTAGTTCTTGACTTATCATCAAACAACATGGTTGGCTCTTTACCTCCGGAAATTGGATATCTAAAGGCTGCAATATATATGAATCTGTCAATGAATCAATTCACAAATGGAATTCCTACAGAAATTGGAGGATTGCAAAATCTGGAGCACCTTTATTTGAGACACAACAAGTTGCAAGGATCAATACCTGACTCAATGAACAACATGGTAAGTTTGGAATACCTAGACATTTCTCATAATAATATATCGGGAACTATTCCCATGTCTTTGGAGAAACTACAATACCTCGAGTATTTCAATGTTTCTGACAACAAATTGTATGGTGAAATACCCTCGGGGGGTCCTTTCAAGAACCTCTCCAGTCTGTTTTTCATCAACAATGAAGCATTGTGTGGTTTGTCAAGGTTTAATGTCCCACCATGCCCCACATCATCAACGCATAGATCAAATAGGAACAAACTGCTACTGCTACTTCTTGTGCTGGGAATTGCACTTGTATTTGTTCCTGTTACCTTTGTGTTCCTATGGATAAAGCATAGAAGAGGTAAAAGAGATCCTCAACAAGCTGATTCATTGCCTATGGCAACATTGGAAAGAATTTCATACTATGAACTGCTCCAAGCTACTGATTCGCTTAGCGACAGTAATCTGATTGGTTCTGGAAGTTTTGGCTCTGTTTACAAAGGCGTTCTCAGAAGTGGAACTGCCATTGCAGTTAAAGTGTTCAATCTGCAACTGGAAGCGGCATTCAAGAGTTTTGATACAGAATGTGAAGTGTTGTGCAGCCTTCGCCACAGGAATCTCGTGAAAGTCATCACTAGTTGCTCCAACCTGGATTTTAAGGCTTTAGTGCTCGAGTATATGCCTAATGGAAGTCTTGACAAGTATTTGTATTCGCACAACTACTTCCTAGATATCAGCCAGAGACTAAGCATTATGATAGATGTGGCATGTGCTTTGGAATATCTTCACCACGGATGCTCCTCGCCCGTGATTCACTGTGATCTAAAGCCCAGTAACATCTTGTTGGATGAGGATATGGTTGCTCACCTAGGTGACTTTGGTATTTCAAAACTGCTTGGTGAAGATGAGAGTGATTTATACACAAAAACCTTAGCAACATTTGGTTATATTGCACCGGGTACGTCTCTTTGTTTTTGCTAATTTGAGCATTGATTTTTCATCTTTTTTTTTCCAAATCAAGAAAGTATATTGCATCTTTTAATTAATTGTTTGACTGTAGAGTATGGACTGGATGGACTGGTGTCGATAAAATGTGATGTCTACAGTTACGGGATTATGTTGCTGGAAACATTTACCAGGAGAAAGCCTAGTGAGTTTGAGGGAGATCTTAGCTTGAAGCAATGGGTGAGTTATTCACTCCCAGAGGCAGTAATGAACGTTGTAGATGCCAATTTGGTAACACCAATGGATCATCGCTTACAGAAGAAGCTAGATGTTGTGGCATCAATCATGAAAGTGGCATTAGATTGTTGTGCTGAATCTCCGGCAACAAGGACAAACATGAAAGATGTTGTAGGGATGCTAGAGAAGATCATGATTCAACTTCTTGCACGCTGAGCATGTTATCGGAATCTCTTTTTCCAAATTGATTGCTTGTTTGTTTTATGGGAAGAATATTGCTTTTTTTGTTTTAGCATTTTGATTCTGTTTTCAGAAATGCTAGTTGGTTGCAATAAATGTCACTGTTTCCTCTTAAAAACTAAAACCAAATTGATCCTCTTGAAAATCTTGAAGCAGAATGATCTTAGTTTTTGTAAATTGTTAGAGGAATAAACTATATGAATACAGATAGGCAAGTACTATAGTAAATATTGAATCCACAACTCGAAATCGTGAGCTGGTAGGTCTCACAGAGGCAACTTGTTTTTGTTTTCATATCTTTTACCTCTTTAAGTCTTGTTTTCTTGATTTTCCACTTGTTGTAATTGCTCATTGCCCTGCCATGTCCAAACTATGTCTTTTAATGATGGCTTTAATCCTTGATCACAAAAGTTCCTGTATTCTGCAGTGTCACCTGATTTTTTTGTCACTTGCACAACATGGAAAGCTGGAGTTATCTCAAATATCTCTGCATCAATTGCTAATTGCCCTTTTCTCCCTTCTTTGCTTCCTTGCATTTTCACCGTCCCGTCTTTTTTCTTCACCTGTTGAAAGACATAATAAAGTATGGTCTAAAATACTAAACTTTTCATAGACGCAAAGCCACATAACTGCTTTAAGGGTGGTCAGATGAACATCTTTCACATACGTACCTTAAAGCTCCCCATTGAAGCTACTTCTTCTAGCCTTGACACGATAGTGGATGCAGACTTTTGTGTCGTGAATCTAGCATCCGACCTATGACTCTTATCTTTCTCGAACAAGCTAGAGAGATCAAAACCAGGAGAAAGTGAAATGATATCGAAAGCATTCAAACAAGTAGGCTTCATTATTGTTGATGAGCTCTCTTCTTTGTGTCGTGAAGAACACTCTGCATCCGAATCATCCACCATATCAAAAACACTACGAGGTGAATCGTCGTCGTGATCTTGATCCAAAATGAATGGTTTATCAATTTGTTTGAATCCTTTCTTGAACCAATTATTGTCCATTAGCTTAGCTAATGTAATTCTTGAAATTGGATTTGGATCAAGAATTCTTAAGAGTAGTTTTTTCACTTCATATGGAAAATATTCAGGGCATTTAAATATCCCTTTAGTAATCTTCTTATACATTTCCAGTAAATTTGTGTCATGAAATGGAAGATAACCAGCTAACAACACAAACAAAATCACCCCACATGACCAAATATCCGCCTTTTCGCCATCATATCCTCTCTTATTTATGACCTCTGGCGCGACATATGCTGGAGTTCCACACGTCGTGTGGAGGAGTCCATCTTGTCTTTTCGTATCGAAAAGAGCACTCAACCCAAAATCAGAAACTTTCAGGTTTCCAGTTTCATCCAGGAGTATATTTTCAGGTTTCAGGTCCCTATGATATACCCCTCGACTATGACAGAAATCAACAGACGCGATTAATTGTTGAAAATATTTTCGCGCTGCTGATTCCCTAAGCCTCCCTTTAGCAACCTTATTGAATAATTCACCACCTCTAACATATTCCATTGCAAAATAAATTTTTGTTTTGCTAGCCATTACTTCATAAAGTTCGACAACATTTGGATGCCTAATTAATCTCATAACAGAAATTTCACGTTTGATTTGGTCAATTAAGCCAACTTTCATCACTTTTTCTTTGTCAATTACCTTAACAGCTACAATTTGTCCTGTTTTTAGGTTCCTTGCATAATAAACTTTGGCAAATGTACCTTGCCCTAACAATTTACCTATCTCATATTTATGCAACAAAATTGTCCCTTTTTTCTCCGTTTTCGCGCTCTTCATGCTCATCATCCTGCAAGAGGACCAAGCGCGCGAAGAAATTGAAATTATGGGCGAATCATCGTGTATTCGCCTAGTGATCTCCCCTGCCTAATCATAGGGGGGGGGGGGGATTAGCTTGGGTAAGAGGTGGTGTGTTTGTGTTGGGAGAAATTAAATCCAATGAAATGGAGAAAAAAAATTATGGAATTTAAAGAATTGGTTAGGTTGTTTACAAATTAGTTATTTTTGGAAACTAAAGAAAGATGGCTAAATATATAACTAATGAATAAAAATAGAAAAAGCCTATATATATTTGTTCTTATATATCACATGCAGTCCGTTTTATATGACACTATTTTCATTTAGAAGGTTGAATAATTTGTTTCGATTTATATAGTGATAATTGATTAAGCACTTATTTCTGAAAGAAAAATATAAACTTTTGAAACCTGTCATCTTGAATTATTTCATGATATTTCGGTAGCTATAAAAACATGTATCACTAATTAAGGGACTATTTCTTGATTAATGCATGTCATCCTTTGCGAAACATTTATATTTATTGTAAAAAAAAATAGAAAAATTGGCATTTTATCTTTTTGATAAAGGTGAATTTAAAATTTAAAATTTATGAATCTCAAACTCATAAGCAGATTTTTAACCGTTTTGAGTTAAACTAACAAAATATTTTGTTGAATCCTAAAATAATTAGAATTTTAGTTTTGCCCCTGCCTAACAAAAACAAGTAACTCCACCTCTCTTTAGTTTTTTTCAATTCAAATTGCATAATTAATTCAAAAGCCTTTTTTACTTTTTTTTAAAAATTTCGTATCAGATCATATTCAAACTAAAACATATAAATAAAATAAAGCGGATGGAATAATAATTAGAAGAGAACAAATAAACCAACGATTTGGAATATATACAACAAATTCAGGCATGCATAATAACGTATTCAAGTCAAATACACACATTTAAATTATCTTCTCTTCTTTGAATTTTACATTCAAACAATTAGTTGATTTTTTAACTACATAAACTATATGTTAAATATATTATAATTATCTTGAAATTGTTTCAAATAATTATCAAATATTCTCATTTTCTACTTGAACTATCGTCATCTGCTCAGTTAGATGTATTTTGTATACCTAAATCATGATAATTCATGTAGTAAAGAAAAATATAAAACTCGAAAATATCATATGTGATTTTTGGTGACTATCTCTATTATATATTAGAACAACACTAATAATCCCATAGCATATTGATCTCTATCTAATTATTAATTATTATTACTATTATGTTCTTGTTCCCTCTTTTTTCCCCATTGTTGCAAACATAGCCTTATTCTCTTTGTTGCTGCTAAGTATTCCACACCTTGAATTGGTGTCAATATGCCCAATATCTCCTTTAGTGTCTTCATCCTCAACTCATCAACTTCTTCTAGTAAATTTGACATGTCCTCACCATGTTTATTTAAGGGCTCGATTTCATTTTCGTCTGTTGAAAACATAATCAAATAAATAAAAATATATCTTTTTTTAAAAAAAATAATCTAATTTTTAAAATAATCATAACTTGTTTAGATCATAATTACGTTATTATATATTGTTTCATAATATACTATTATATTATTTTGATAAATATAACTTCTAAATAGATTGAAATATTTTTTGTTGTTTCGTTATCTCATGCATCATCAATTTGAAGACTAAGAAAGAAAAAGTAAAATATCAGATAAAATTAACTTTTTTTTAAATAAAAAAGTAGAATATGCTTATTCAATAAGCAAAGACAAAATGATGGAAAAAAAGGTAACGATGTGATCGTATATATGTTTATAATAATAAGATTATAATATTCGTTTTGTCGTTATTTGTTATATTTTCTTTTAAATTTATTTCAAAAAAAATGGCGTGTTCCTTAATCTGGTCTACTTTACTTATCATGATTATATAATTTTTTCAAAATACTTCGCATTAAAAAAATAAAAATAGAATTTATTTATTTGTCTACACCCCTCTACATTCTTCTTATAAATGTATATGTATATATGGACAGAGATTTTATTAATACGATAAAAAGGGCAAGTAATGTTAAGTTGAAATAAAAAACAGATAATTTTAAACTTCATATTTAGTTAAACATCGATAAATAAATTAATACGTCACGTACCTCGTTCAGTATCGTAAATTCTGGCAGCCATAGCAAACGGTTGATCAACAACATCTTCTTGCAAGCTAGCTAACCTTGAAGAAAATCTTCTCTCTTCTAAAATAATTTGTCTTTGTAACTTATCAATCATGGTAATTTGCTCACCAGAAAGATGACCAAATTCTCCAATTTTCATACCCTGTATGTACGTCGATAAAATTAGTTCATAAAAATATAGCTTCTGTCTAACTCAAAATCATATTTGGATGGGATAACAATAGTCTTATTTATAAACTCAATCTATTTTAACTCAAACTTCTCTAAAAGTTCTAATATAGCCCACATTCACAATCTTAATTAAAGTATGGAAAAATACACGAGTACTATCTAGATTATAATCAAAATTTCAGAGACACATTTTAACTAAACTAAGCTCATATTACCTTTCGAACTTAATTTTTTTGTAATTTTGTTCACCATTCGTCTTACGTGAGACACTTCATGACTCCATACAGTTGAGGCGCATGAGAGATATTTGGATTTCATGTAAGCCAAAAAGATGTATAAAATTATAAAAAAAAAATAAGTTTAGGAAGTTAATATGACGTTAGTTTAATTAAGGTATTTTTCTGGGATTTCAATCATAGCCTAGGGTGTACTTGTACATTTTTCCTTAAAATATTAAAAACAAGACTTCTTTTTATAATGCAAAACCAGTCATCGCTATTCTTTAAGTCCACACACACCAAATAAATATGTTCATGTATAATAAACTACAAATAGTAGGAGATATAAATCGCATAAGGTCAATTGCGACCAACTCATATAAACCACAATAAACAACCCTAGTATGACGAGTTCGACTGTATTTGAGAAGAAAAAATGATTTTTGACATTCCCTATTTGACACCTTATATAAAATCATAATAAAAAATATTAAATAATTAAAAAAATTATAAGATAACAGTCAACAGAATAAAATATATGTATAAGTTGGTGGATTGAACTATGATCTATTATTTTAGATCATTAATTTATACATTTAAATTTAATTCAACCTGCTTATTTAACATTCTACCTGTAAATATCTTGCGGTATGAGACTGGATTTCGATTCCACATAACGCGTAAATCAACCGTATAAACGTAGATGGCCTACACCCTCCTATCCACAAGACCGAATTTTCCAATGGGGTGCACCAAGTAGGGGCAAAGAACGGCGACACGTCGACTCTCGCGAGTCGACTACGGCCGTTCGCGTACCCTTGGAAGTTGTTCACCATTTTCCTTAGTAACTCATTCAATTCGTCGTCGTTTAGCTCGTTTTTTCGAGCACGAACGATGGCGTTTTGAAGCTCTTTTAGTTCTTCTTGTTGATTGTTCATCCATGAATTGTATAAATTTTCTTCATTTTTTCTATTGGAGCTTGAATTTGCCATTTATTTTATTTTTTTGTTTCTTTAAGAAGCCATATCATGAATAAATGTATTTTTTGGTTAATATATGGTGTGAATTGAATAAATAAAAAATTTGAGATACATAAAAAAAATCTTGTACATTTGTTAGTAGGTATTTTTTTTTTTGGACATTTCGTGATTTAGGGAATGCAATGTGACGTAGTTTTGTACTCATCTGTAGCCTATTTCGTGTTCACGTAAAATCGGGATAAATAAATGCATCTCGAAAATATGACATAAACAGACTATCTAAATACAAATATATTTTTTATTGCTCATAAATTTGAATAAATTCGCATAAAGTTAGTTATTAAAACTAAGTTATGAATTTAATGAAAAAATCATAATTAACTAATTTTCAATGTTATACACCACCTTTTACTTTTTGATGGATTTAAATTCATAGACCTATTGATAAATTTTCTATTCAAATTAAAAGAAAAATAAGTAATTTTCTTTTTTCATTGATACATAAATTAAAAATATATTTTCTTAAAACTATTGGTATAATAGTTTGATTAGTTAAGTACTATGAGAGGCAAAGAGATAGAAGTCATGAGAATGAAAATTACGAAGATAAAAATAAAAATAAAGAATATATCAACAGTATTTATCAATTTTATTTTTTTTAATTTCACTAAAATATTTTATTTTATTAATTGAAAAAAATTAATTTTTGCCGTAACAAGCTTTCGAGATAATCTCGATGTATTTGGCCTTTAAATTTTTTTTTTTTTGTCTAATATTAAATGAAATGAAATAAAATACTATAAAAGGAATATTATAAAGACAATTATTGGAACTATAAATAATGCATGTGATTCATCATCTTTTATTTTGTCTTTCTTCTTTTCTTAGTTTCTTGTTTGTTTTATTATCCCCCACCCTAGTAATACTTTAATTTATTTTCTCACAAATATATTCAGAATATACAGATATTTTAGGAACTGTTTTTGAAAGTTAAAATATAATGTATAAAAAAAATTATTTTAACTAATATTTATATACTTTTAACTTTTAAAAAGTTGGCAATGACGTCCATCTCCCTACTAAAGTGGAAATGTTTTTTGTTTTGTGAAGAGTGAAAACATAAATAATGATGTATATCCTTAACTTCTTTTTTTTTTTAATTAATTTTTGCATCATTTCTAATTAATTTCTTTAACATATAAGAATAAATTGAAAGAGTCCAAAACAATGGAAAATAGTGCATAATCATCCCGTAAAGAAATAGATTTAATCAAATTTTAGATAAATATCATAAACGTTGACGTACTAGATTTTGTTTCTCCTTATGATAAAAGATTTAAAAATACAAATTGCCAACTTCTATGGAAAGAAAAAAAAGCACAAAAAGTCAAAAATATGAGTTTAATATCCTCTTCTATCAAAATTGTTAAAAGCATAATATATATATATATATATATATATACACACGTCTGTTCGATCAAATTAATAAAAATTTTAGTTTAATATATATATATATATGAACAACAATATGTATATATGTATTTTTGATTTTTCGCTTTTATCCTTTTATTATATTTTTAATCGTCTAATATAATA